TGTGGCTTTTGACCCCCAAGTGTGACTATATCATTTGCATATGAATATACGTTTGGCAAAGAGCGTTTGACACCAGGGCTTACGGCTTTGTCTTTATAGAACTGCTTTGTTTTTTTAAAACGATATCCAACCAATGAGAAACAACAGGGGATTATCCCGGGAAATTGGCGTTAATACAATGCATTTGTAGATTTAACTAGTTAGCCAGGAAACTTACAGTCTGCGAGAGACTGAAGAAATCAGATCACGGGATAAATAATAGCATTGCGAAGGAAACACATAGCGTCGCGGGCAAATCCGATCGCGTTAGGGCCCGCGACGCTGTTTTGGCCTGGGGAGAACACTGTTCTTGTCTTGTTCATTTTGTGATAAACATTGACCAAACCCTAGATAATAACACAAGTAACAGATCACAATGTACACATACCGTAAGCTTGCTGCTGTTGCTGTTGTGATTGCTGCAGGTTGGTGTTTTTCTGTGACTCGCCTTTTGCTTTTTCAAGCTCCTTCCTGGCTATTTCCCAGGCAGGATTCTCAGCTTTTGGAAGTGCTGATGTGTTACTATTACCTGCTGGTTTATTATTTACTGCTGAAAAATTGCCATTGTATTGTTGACTCCTGGTGACAAGATTTGGGAAAGACATTTTCAATTAATATTATGTTCATAATTGAATATTATAAGATCAAGAACACCTCATAACCTCATTTTATTTTGGTCAACAACAATAATCTGAAGAAAGCATTGGTATAGCATAACAGAGTAATGATCCTAACACAAATCAAGAGTAAAATACTTCATGATACATTTTTTTGAGAGGAAAAATAGGTTAGAATTTTTGGTTAGTTAATAGGGGTGAATATATTTCAAGGTTTTGAAATTCTGCCAATTGTTTGAAACATAGTTTCAATATCTAAAATGACAAATTAAACCAAATTCCGCAAACATCTTCATCAACGCCTTTAAAGGCCCAATTCACTTGCCCCGGGCAAGTGTGAATTGGAGGTGTGGCTATTCTAATGCATGGTGTTAATCACTTGCGTAGCCTATGATGCATCCTGTTTCAGCGGTCCAACATCACATGACTTTGATTGACAGTAGTAATTATTCAAGATTAGTCGCGCATCCCTTTCCCCGGTTCATGTTCTTTACTTTTATCCGCCAAAATCTCAGCTCGTACACAATTTATTGTCATAAATATTACACACAGTCACTGCTGTGATATTCATAGTCACATGCATCCACTTTGGCACGACATAATTGACCTGTAAGTTCGAGAAAACACGTTTTTACCGGAGCTTGGCTGGAGCTGTTTACTACAGCGTGACAAGCAAGGAATTGATCCCTATTGTTTAGGAGCGTATTTATAGTATACCTGGGCCTTTAAGAATAGTCACTTTTTCTAAGCTTAGAAATGTTCCTCACTAATATTATCCATATTATTCAGAAAAAGTCAGAAAATATCTAATGTTATATTTTTATCTATACCTTTATAATATTTTGAGCAACAATTTTTAAAAATACATTTGTGACATGCTACGAAAGGAATTTAGAAAGAATTTAAAAGTCCACGAATTAATTACTGTATAATAAATGCACATAGATCGTCAGGCCCCTGTGAATGAATGATGAAAGGTTTTTTCCGGATATTATTGTTCTGCATGATTTTTTTTAGTTCTTCGACTTTTCATACTGTTTTACAGACACGATTTTGTACATGTACACAACAGTTCTGTTCTATGTATATGCGCGCCAGGGTGTTGTATCTCTTTAAAATTGTCAGACCGATAGTCGTTGTCAGACAGAAAGCAAACATTGGAAACGACGCCATTTCATTATTCAGGGTCGTCACATTTTCTCGATTTTTAACGGTTATAATTAACATTGCACTTTTAAAATCAAACATGGTGACATTCCATGGGTCATCAGGTTTCATAATTTCAAAATTCTTTTCTAGACAAGTGCGTGGGAATTGTCAAAACTCACCATTGTGCAGCCTGAGTTGCTTGATTCGCGTCAAATGGAACGGCCGCCATGATAAAATATTAACAATAGTGACGTCACTCACAAGCTCATCCTCGAACGGAAGACTATTTTATCGTTGGAATAACCGTATAATGAAACTAAACAACTTACTATGATGACATATTCTATTTTGTAAGAATACAATATCGTAAGTGAAACTGTTTTGAAACAATTGACATAGAAACGTATAAACATTGATTTTTTTTTTCCAACAACATTGTCACACCCTTTGCACAGCGCCCTCTAGCACTCAGAATTCAGATGTTCGTGTATTTAGCATATGGCAGCAATTCGCTAGTTACCGGCCTCTTGTGGCTTGGTACGCCATGACACTTGAGGCGGGAACCAGCCAAATGGCAGCAAATGTGCCGTCAATTACATTGTAATGATTTGAGGCTATGACGTTTAGTTTAGTTATTTGCATAATGATATTGATACATTGTATGGAACATCTCGTGAGTATTTAGACTCAGTTCCAGGCCTAGCAGTTGAGCAATAAACACCTTGGCTACAAGTGCTCCTCTCCAGTGTGTTATTCTCCTCCCGGATCTGGTGACCAATACTCACTTGGTTCACTCTACCTTGAGAAGTCTGTTCTCAGTTTACATACATATAATTATTTTAGTAATGCCTGGTCAACGGGATGTGGACATTTTCGTGACAGTCGACTGTCAAGCTATTTTCGATGAAAAAAGTCATATAATATGCACATAAATAAATGAATAAATTCTTTGAAGGCCACTAAAAAAATGCCAATTTTGCAAAGAGTATCTTTTAAGATACTGTATATAATTTTTCATGCCCATGTTGAAAACAATGCAAAAATATCCTAAAACGACAAAACATGCTATTTCCACCTTACTGTAAACAAAATAGTAGAACTTGAATTCAGTAACAACACGTTAAATTAAAATGAAACTGGTGCACAATGATCAATTAAATGGCGGTGGTCGTCGCGCTGCGCGTGTGCGACATTTGTGTTGAAAAACATTGATTTTCCCACAATCCAATGCGCTCTTCTAATGGAAATCATGTCAATTAGAATGCATATTTTATGTGTCTGGTCTATTGGCACTTATTTCTGTATCTGTTTGTATTGGCATATCCTACAGGACTGTTACTTCCTCACTCTAATTTACTGTATCTGGTTGGTGTTCATACCACTTGTCTGCAGTCATTATCTTATATTGTCTGCAGATCTTCCAGTGCACATATCCAGCTGCCCTGTTATGTCTTGGAATGTATTCTGTTTTTGTAATTCTGGACAGCCAGATACAATACAATATAATAATATTATTATTCAACACGAACAACACTTGTGGTGGATAGATAATCCTGGTGTGTGACGGGGAATAATAAATTTATTTCGTATTAATCAGTAAATATATTAACAGGCATTCTGCAAGCATCGACTAAACGCACAGAATTAATGACTATGGACCCTAAACTACGCCACCAATACCAATGATCAGCCGAGACTTGGCGAATGTACACTGGATCAGTCGTGGCAATTGTATTTGTTTATATGATAATTCCTCAAAAAACGAGTAGACTTTCTCGCGTTGACGCCAAATTTCCACATCGGACCAAGATTTAAAGAAGAATTATAAAATTGCCACGAGTGTGCCAGTCTAGGAGAATGCTGAATAGGCAAACACTGTGTGGTTATTATTGTATCATTGCAGTATTTCTGCTAATTCTCACATGTAGTTAATTGATGTGGTGCAGATTCTATTTATTATCAAATTATACTCTTATTTAAAAATGCTGTTTGTTAACTGGATTCATTAACATTCCCAGTTTCTCTGTGGCATTAGCTCTGAATACAGGCCTGTCAATGTGATTTGTGTGCCCTCAAGTAAAATATCACCCACAGCATAAGGACTAGCGCGGCTTGCAAAGAATGATTTCGATCCAACTCGCACCAAAACCAACTCGCACCAATGCTATCTCGCACCAATGCCAACTCGCACCAAAACCAACTAGCACCAGACCAACTCGCACCAATGCTATCTCGCACCAATGCCAACTCGCACCAATGCCAACTCGCACCAATGCTAA